TCTGTAAACGTTTATCTAAAACACAAAAAAAAAGAAAAAAGATTTACAGGCTTGGAAACCTTATGGGTCAGTTCTACTCTGTCCTGTAGGTTGCTGTGAGGTGGAATTGACTTGACAGCAACAGATTTTTTAATCAGTATCTGTAGAGAAGGGAGAAGATGGAAGCAATGGGGTCTCTGCAGACTTGAAAACAGAAGAACCCCAAAACTGCCAGCAGGTATACTCACTGCAAAGTATTGTGGGCCAATGTGAGAACAGCAGCTGAAGTTGGGAGGAGTTTTGCACTCTAATAGAAGGTGAGTGCAAGAGGTCCATGGTAAGACGTTCTGAAGGGGTTCCTGCAGTTCTAGCACATTAGAACTCTGCAAAAGGACAGCCATACTGAGGAGAAACTGCTGGGAGGTGAGTAAAAATTAAGCAGGATAGAGGCAATTTAGAGGTAGAAAGAGAAGGACTGACTAAATTTGGAGAAAGGGAAAGAGCCGAGAAATCTCAAAGTTTCGAAGAGGGAACTCTGTGAAGTTAGAGTATGCTGCCACACTTTAAAGTTCAGGGGAAAAAATAAAAACTGGTTTCCTATAAAATTGAGTATCAATTGAGTATCAAAAAGTATCAATGTAAAATCACATTTAAAGTCACAAGAAAAGAGAGAATACAGAGCCGAATGATATCTCTCCAGAAAAAGAAAGTATGCCAGAAAGACATATTGTAGGTTATTATTTCCAAAATGAGCTATAAGATATTAAGCAGATGATACAGGATGTGAAAGAATAACATAAATAACTAAGAGTTAGAAAAGTTCAGAAATTACATAACTCAGCAGGAAATTAGAAAGAAGAAAAGAAGTTATTCCAGAAATGAAGTAAACTAAGAGGAACATAACAGCAAGTAAACACCATAGTCCAGGCCTTAAGGTTAATAAAAGGTGAAACGGAGAACATTTTTTAAATTCAAAAATAAAAGATGAGTAAACATAGGAATATTGGAGTGACTGTAACAATATCGGATAAAGTAGACTTTAAGACAATGAGTGTTACCAAAAAAAAAAACCCTTTGCCATCTCGTCAATTCCGAGTCACAGCAACCTCATGTGTTACAGACTAGAACTGTTCCATAGGTTTTTCTTGGCTGTAATCTTTATGGAAGCAGATCACCAGGCCTTTCTTCCACGGCATCATTGGGTGGGTTCAAACCACCAACCTTTTCGGTTAAGTAGTTGAGCACGAATTGTTTGCGTTACCCAGCAACCTCTAAGGGCCATTCATACAACAAAATGTCAATTCATTAGGGAGACATGATAATAATAACTGTCTCTGTGGCGCCCTGGTGGCACAGTAGTTAAGAAGTTGGCTGCTAACCAAGAGGTCAGCAGCTCGAATCCACCAGGCGCTCATTGGAAACTCTATGTAGCAGTTCTACTCTGTCCTATAGGATTGCTACGAGTCGGAATCGACTTGACGGCAACAAGTTTTTTGGTTTACGTGCTGAATAACAAAGCTTCAAAATACTTGAAACAAAAGATAACAGAATTCGAGAGAAATAGACAATTCTACAAAAATAGTTGAACATTTTAACATCTATTAAAAATTTATCAGCAATTGATAGAACATCCAGATAAAAAAGATTAGTAAAGCATGAAAGTTATGAAGACTATCAACCTCTTTGACCTAATTGATATTTATAGAACAGTACACCCAGCAACTACAGAGTACACATTATTTTCAAGTTCATGTAATATGTTCACCAGCATATGCCACAATGTGGACATAGGCAAAACTAAACTATGGTGGAAAAAAATTAGAATAGTGGTTGCTTCTGTTGGATGGGGGTGGAATTTGACTGGGAAGGAGTATAAGGAAACTTTCTGGGGTAATGGTAATATATTCTATATCTGAACTGGGTTTGGGGTTAAATGTAGTGTTTATTTGTCAAAACTCAGTACACTTAGAACTGGTACACTTAAAATCTGTACATTGTATGTAAGTTTTATTGCAAAAGGAGAAAGAGAACTGTAAACAGATACAGATCTCTAGTTAATGAAATGCAGAAAATGTTTTAGGAGAAAGATGTACTGATGTCTGTGGTTTACCTTGTAAGGAATCAAAAAGTCGTAGGAATTCATATATGAATGGAGGGCTGGGTAGATGAATAGATACGTAATACAGCAATTATGATGAAATGTTAATTGTAGAATCTAGATAGTGGGTGTATGAGTATTCACTGAAAAATTCTTTTAATAATTTTGTGTTTGAAATTTTTCATAATAAAACATTGGAAAAAATAAGTGAAAAAATAGAGAAAGTGTAGAAAGGCATAAAATACATGAAGAAGGAGACAAAATAAAGTCATAAATGAAAGAGATACAAAGATTTTGAGAGAAAGTGTTAAATCTGAAGATAGGCATAAAAAAATCCCTCAGATGGATAAGGGAAGCCCCTGAAGAAGAAAATCAAAAGTACCAATCAGATAGTGAAAGTTATAATTCAAAGCAATGTTCCTGAAATTACACAAGTATTTTTAAACTATACGTAGAGTAAGCACCTTGAATACCTGAGAATATTAACCCAGAACAACCAACATCAAGACATATTTCAAGTTAAATTGCTAGAATTTAAAAAAGGAAAGGAGAAGAAAGTCTCTGGACTCCTAGACAAAATGAGCAATTGATTTATCAGGTAAAGAAAGTTAGATTTTCTTCGGATTTTTCAACAGCACCACTTCGTGAGAATAGAAAGTAGAATAACGTACTTAAGATACTCAAGGAAAGAAAGCAGGAGTCAGTGATTTTATATCCAGCAAAACTTGCTTTCAAGTACAAAATTATCAATATATAAAAACTCTGGGGATATTGTTTCCATGAACTCTTTCTGAAGAGCCCACTAGAAAACAAGATTCAGACAACTGAAAAATGACTAGTGGGACATTGATGTAAGGACTGGTGGTGGGCATTAAATATATAGTTATAGAGACCCTGGGTGGCACATATCGTTAAGCATTCAACTACTAGCCAAAAGGTCAGCGTTTCGAACCCACCCAGAGGCACCTGGCAGGACAGCCCTGGTGATCAACTTCTGAAAGGTCACAGCCTTGAAAATCCTACAGAGCAGTTCTACTCTGCACACATGGGGTTACCATGAGTCAGAATCAACTCGAAGGCAACTAACAGCAACAACAACAAAATTAAGACTAAAGGTTAAAACGGAAATAGTGTTGTGTATGATATCTCTAGGTTCCAACGTTTGTACATACAGTTCAGTGTAAATTTGCACAATAGTGTGAACTGGTCTTCCTTGTAGGAGTATGGATATTATCCTATCGTCGGCAGCATTGTACTTCAGGATAGATCTTGAAATGTTCTTTTTGACAATGAATGCAGCACCGTTCCTCTTCAATTTGTCGTTCCTGGCATAGCAGACCCTATGATTGTCTGATTCTGAATGGCCAATACCAGTCCATTTCAGCTCACTAATGCCTAAGATATTGATCTTTATGTGTTCCATTTCATTTTTTATGACTTCCAATTTTCCTAGATTCATACTTTGTACATTCCACGTGCCAATTATTAATGGATGTTTGTCGCTGTTTCTTCTCA